ACAAACAATTAAAATTACGGGACGTTTGTACTTGACAGATATTTTTATAAAATTTTATTTTATTTTTTATTAAATATTTTTAAATTTTTTTATCTTAAATTTTGTACATAAAAATTAAATCTAATAGTAGTGAAATTAGATATAAAATATTTTAAAAACATGCGCAATGAATAACACACAAACATTCTTCATAATAAATAAATAAATAACTGTTGGCATCCGAGTTCACCTCGAAGGGAAACCGGACACGCGGCAACCCCCAAAAGCCGAACCGGCCCGCAGACCCGAACCGGCTCACCCACCAGTTCTTAAGTGCCGATCTGAACTCAAAAATTGATTGGCCCTGACACCCCCGCGAGTTCGTCCACGAGCTCGGCGTTTGTTGAATCCAAATGCCGATACCGACCTGGTGGGAGACGGGCTGGAGAAAGGTTCCCCGGGGTCGGAAGAACAAAACGGGATTGGGGGCCGGCTTGAAGTTCCAGGACGGTCCCCCCAGGGGCGGGCGCCGAGCACCGGTAATAATATAATAATGCCACTTAGAGAGCAATCATTGGTGATTGGACAGGACGCCATAGCCTACAAGTCTACATCTCCTAGCCAAGACATAAAGCCTACCAGCATTAAATGACCCCCATGTGTGTATTAAATGTCTGCCAGGTAATGATGAGGAAAACCTCAAATCGCATTAAATTCTGTCAGGGAGGCGCCGGACTGCTCTGCGACGACACTGTACGACAAGACCGGTGAACAGTACCTGAACAGTACCACATTAAAGAGCACTATAAATAGCAACCCTCATTTATTTCTGGGTTGTTGAATCCCAACTGTCTTAACCCTCTACATATTTTCTCTCTCTAGACTTGTAAGGAATTTGTGTAAGAACTTGTAAGTACATCGCAAGTGCCGACCTCGTACGAGAGGCCGACCTCGTAATCAGGTAATAAAATCATAATTAAACCGTATTCCTTTGTCTTTTCTCGTTACTTTTTCACTATTGATCTTTTTTAACCGTTGACCGGAAATGCCCGTCAACAATAACAACATGTTTTTAGAATATTTTTTATTTCATTTTCTACAACATACAAATTAAATCTAATAATAGTGAAATTAGATAAAAAAAAAATATTTTAAAAACATGTGCGATGAATCACACAAATATTCTTCATAATAAATAAATAAATAAATAACATCCTGTTTGTAGAATATTTTTTGATTCATTTTCTACAAGTTAAAAAATCCAAAATATATGATCATGATTAAATTAATCAATTAAACAAATAGTATTATATATATATACATGCAATATATATGTAATAAATATTATATTACATAATATAAAGAGTATTTCGTAAATACTTTTGTATTTAAGAGTAATATCGAGATAACATAAAAATATGACTTAAATGGTAGGTAGTTTATTTATTTATTTTATACTTATAAATTATGTTCATAAAATATTTTATTTTTTAATACGCAAATCAGTCAAACATACTTAACAACACTAAACAAAGTCCAAAATAAAATACGGTCATAAAATTTTTATTTAAAAAAAAATATTAACACTATAACATGTCTAACATGTGGAAGTTAAAAATACACCCCTAAAACCATGAAAATTAGTTTAGAAGTTACTACATGTTTGTAAGTTTTGTTAGACGTTAAAAGTACACCCTAAAACCGTAAAAGTCAGTTTGGAAGTTAAAGTCAGATAGAAGTTAACACACGTGTGTCATTTTGCAAGTTAAAATCATATAGAAGTTAACACGTGTGCAAGTTACATTGTTAGTGGTTTATCGTTATTTGCACCTTGTGATGCAATATTATGAAAGACTGCTTGAGTTGATATTGAGGTGATTCTTTTAAGACTTTTTTTTTATAAATTTTTTTAATTTTGTTTCCTAATATTTGTGTTTTTAACGTTTTACCGGCCTCAATAAAAAAGATTCATGTAGATTTGTTTAAACGTTTCATCACATAAGGTGGAGTCATGGGTATATACACTTTATTGTAGCACCGGCGGCAGATATAAATAAAAGTTTCCATAAGTTTATGTATAACTTCAAAAGTTTTACCGATTTGTCTAAAGGCTCCTTTTGTAAGGACTCTTGATCCGTAATTATATCTTATGCATATCAAAAACAAAATATATATTTTAGTTATTGAGGATTAAATTATATGAATGTTATACATGAAGAACTGTGTACCAACTTTACGTTACTGTTTCAAGAGTTACAAATGGGCAATGATTGAAAATATTAATTTGTGATGATAAAAACAACTCAGAACTTTACATCGCTGTTTCAGAGTTACAAATGTGAAAGGATAGAAAATATTAATTTGTGATGATAAAAACAACTCAAAGACGAAGAACGTTGTTCTGAATTTATATGAATTGCAAATGCTCTTTTAATTTTTTTTTTTTTTGTAGCTCCCGTACATTTTCTCATCCAACAACTTTGCACTCACTACCCAAATAATCTTGGACCCACAACTACCCCACCATCACTATCCCACTTTTATTAAATTAGTGTGGAAACTAAAAAAAAAAAATGTGGCTGACAATTGCAGCCAAATTGGATAAAGGGCCCCATTTTTTTTACCGTTGAAGGCAGAAGAAACGGTGCAAAATTTTACCCTTCTCCACCAATAAAGCCAAGCACAATTCTGACATTACACCTTTTTTGGAGTTGCTCTAATATGTAAGAATGATTGATTGATATTATTTAATTATATTAATAATATTGATGATAAAAGTTGAGTTAAAATGAGTGATTGGTTAAAAATGATTGAATCTTTTTAAATAAATTTGTATCAGCATCCCCTAAAAGACTAAAATAAATAAATAAATTATCTATCAAATCTAGGATGCAAATAATAATAATAAAATAAAAAAATAAATTAATTAAATCAACTATGACAAACGATTATGTTTGTCCAAAAAAGTCAAAGGAATGTCATGTCACTTTTAAATAAATACTCAAAATAATTTTATAATTATAAAATCTAATCATGTTATTACAATGCATGATAAATTTACAATGTATCTCACATGAATATTATCACATTCATTTGGCAAAAATACATGACTCACATTATAACATACGCGACATGTTTAAAAGCTCAGCAGCTTCAATGATATCCCCCAATGCATCAGGACCCATATTCATAAGCACCTTTATTACAAGTATCGAATACCAACATATTAATCTGTAGGGATATTCAAGAAGTTCGAAAGAAGAAAAAAGTCGGGCCATACATGAATGCTACAGCTTTCTCGGACAATAAAAAGTTCAAAAATGGTTATCGGACCTCATTTGCATCTTTGAAACTTGTCGTCTCATTCATTTTTGCATGAGTCGATGGTTGCTTTAATTTCGTGATTTCATTCATTTTTGCATAAGTCGATGATTATACACCTGCAAATGCCTGAAACTTTAAAGTAGCACGACAAATGAAAATAGCATCAATAGTCCAACTTTTAGACTTTAGAAAAATTTAATCAGAAAACTTACTCGGGTTGCGCCATTCCACCTACATTTACCTCGAAAGCAGTTCCAAATTACCCTCCTACAGCATTGGCAATGAAAATAAAATTAAGACGTAACAGAAAAATTGAGAAAAAAAATAAGACTTACCCGTCCAGTTCAATACGAAGAGATAAGCTCTTCTCCTCTTTTTTCCCACCCTTATACTACAAAGCCAAAAGACGCCCGTGACTTTAACAAAATGGGAATAAAATCACGTATCAAAGTAAGAATATGTTTTGAAAATAAAATGGGAAAAATCTGCTTATACAATTTCTACGATCTGAAATCAACATATTAAGTTACTCATCAAAAGCCAATTTCAGCAATAATCAAGTGTTCACACATACTACAAAAGCCGTTAACTCATACTTAGGGCTGCAAACGAACTCAACTCGAGTCAAAGCTCGACTCGAGCTTGAAAGGTTCGAACACGAACTCGAATCTAGCTCGAGCCCATATTTTGCATTGTCGAGCGGTTCGAGATATATGTTGAATTACTAAAATACCCCTTATATATATTACAATAGTATAACATATGTGCTTAATGGTAATTTTATTCCACTTAAAAATTTTTGAGCCGAACTCGAGCATTTTGATTTCGAGTTGAGCTCGAGCCTAGCTCGAGCGATTGTACTTTTTTATCGAGTCGAGCTCGAGCAGTTAAAACAAATCCTGCTCGATAAGGCCAATGCTGGACTCGACTCGTCTCATTTTACTAATAAAAGGAGACAGTTTAAGGTTTACAAGTGTAAACCAAGTTTAACTTCTTAAACCTCAATAAAAATAAAAAAAGATTAAAAGTACAAAAAAAAAGTTATAATTTAAAAATATTAATAAAATATGATAATATATTATTAATTAAATATAAGTGAAAAACATGTGAGAGTATAGAAAAGAGATTTATTTATAAGGTTTATTAAGGTTTTGTTCTGTTTTAACCCGGATAAATTGAGTTATTCAAAAAAAAAATAGATTTTTTTTTTTCGAAAAAAAAATTATTTCTCTCTCCTCCACCTACACAACTCAATCATACAACTCAATTTATTTTTATCCCCAACCCAACTCAACTTAAACATTTATTTTATTTTAATTTATTTAAAAATTATAATTTTATTCCAAAATATATCAAGTGTGGTCTCTATTTGTAGAGAATGAAAAAATATGAATTTTAATATTATTTTTATTTTTTTAAACAAAAAAAATACACTTATCCAATCAAAATAGGACAAATGTCCCTTACTCCAAACACTACACGGGTCGCGACCCAAGGTCACAATGTGACCTAGGTCGCTCATTTTTTGTGACCTTCCTTGCTTTTCTTGACCGGTTGGATTGATTTTTATAAGTTATAACAGAACAATTATGTATCGAAACACCCAGGTTGAAGTTCGGACTACTCTAGCCCAATTAGCTTCAAGTTCAGACTACTACACTAGCCCAATTTTTAAATTTACTGTTTTGTTTGACGGGCTTTGACTTGGCGAAGAGATAGGAGGCCCCACTCCCACGTGGCTTGTCATTTCTTTTTCAATCCCATTCATCAAATCTCACAGATCAGCTGCTCGGAATCGACATCACGACCTCAAAATTTTCTGCGAAACAATTGCCCGTCAAAATCTGAAATTCCAGCTGACCGTGAATTGAACCTCCGGCGTGCTAGAAAAGGACAATCGGAGGTTTCCCCCAAATTCATTGGAATCTTCATGTTTATGTTTTTATAGCAGCCATCCTTGCTGTCGGCGATGAAAGGCGTCTTCACGGCGCCCGGTGATTACGTTTATTTCAAGTCTCAGGTCCCTCTTCACAAGATCCCTGTAAGCCCCGTTCACCAAATCCCTTTTGCACGAAATTCCAATTGATTTGATTATTTCCAATTATTTGGTAGTTTGTGTAATTGGTTGGGCTCTTTAGCTCTGTTCACCAACTGGGCATGCTTGATTTCATATTTTAAATCGTACTTTTTCTTGCTTATGTTGCCCAAGGAGCAGTTAGTTTCAACTATATGTCTTATACCTTGGTTAATTCTAGATCATGGGCCTGAGTTTTGTATTTTATTTATCATTTTGTATTTATTTATTATCAATTTAACTTAAGATATTTACTGTCTTTCGTTGGCCAATAATCTCGTTTTCGTTAAATGTTTGCTTATGTTCTTTAGTTTATATTCGTGTAGCTTTTTGGAAGCAGTAGGATGTATTTTGAACTCAAATGTACATAGAAGAGACTTGTAGATGCTTGAGATTGAGAAGGCTGACATTGGACAATTCTTCCAAGTAGTGTCTAGGATCACTCATGTATTCCTGGGATGGTTTATAGTAATGTTTTCTAATGAGGTCTATAAAGGGCTGACCTAAACTGAAAGATGAGGGAATATGTATAGTATATCGTAAGAAGATTGAGCAATCGAGAGTGTATATTTGTTCAAACTGACGTATTTATGTGAAACACATCATGTCATTCAAACTGAGGTATATAAAATAAGCATGTAAATCAAGTTGGGTATAAATTCGAATAGAAAAGGGCATTACGGTTTTTCATCCATGAATTATCAATTGATTAGCAATTTTATCTTTTAATGATCCATGAGTATTGGCTTTTGCGGGGCAATGAGGAGTCTACCTTGATTTTCAATCATATACACATTTTCAGGAATTCTGGCAATAGAGCATTGATATAACCAGTTTTATTCAAAGTTTTAGTCTGTCTTATCAGTACCATTGTTCATGCAAGAACTTAAGGCATTCTATTAACATTTTTCACAAGTATGGATTGTAGGAACTGTCTAACCATTTTCCCCAACATCTGCTGTAGATTGGATCAAAGCAATGGCGGTACTATGATTTCGGCCCAAAAGTAGTGCCCCCACTAATATGTTTACCTGGTACACCTGGAACTGCAGATGTGTACTACAAACAAGTTATGTCACTCTCAATGAAGGTATTGAGTGACAACGGATTTAAATAGTCACTTCTTTTATGTCCCCTTGATTTGAGTATGGTCTAACATTTCACTTGTTTCAATATTAGATTTAAGTTTGAGATGAACGTGTACTACCATTTTATAACATTTTATTTCAATGTAATGCTACAACTGTCAACTTAAAACAATCTTGTGGTGACTTTCCATTATATTTCAGGGTTATCGTGTCATTTCAGTCGATATTCCTCGTGTATGGAACAACCATGAGTGGATTCAAGCTTTTGAGAAGTTTTTAGACGCTATTGATGTTCATCATGTAAGATTTCCTTACCCTTTTTTTTGTATTATATTATATATTTTAATTATGTTCTTCTTTAAACGATCATGAATGAATCTCATTTGTGTTGTCAACAAATTTCTCCTCCTCCTCCTCCTCCTCCTCCTCCTCCTCCTCTTCTTCTTCTTCTTTTTTNCTTCTTTTTGTATTACTGATAATTGGTTCTCCTCCTCCTCCACTTCCTCTTCTTCTTCTTCTTTTTATTTTTTATTTTTTTTTTCGATTGGTATTATTGTTCTTCTTTTTGTATTGCTGATCATTGATTGAACCTAATATCTGTTAACAAATCATCTGTATGATGGGATGGTTCCCACGAGCTGGGCTATCATAATGGAACGGAAATTAGACATATATGCTATAGTAAAAGAGCGAAGATCCCTAGTCTTATATTCTCTTCCTGATGTACGATGAAAATGCTTTTCTGCATTCCTGATTCATGCATCATTAATTATTTCCCATGATATTTAATTCATTATTTGCTTAAAATTTTGGCTTCAAATTATGCCTGTTTTCTTGTGTTTTTTTATTTTCCTTGATATGGTAGGGCATCAAAAGACTGAAAGCTTGTTTTATAGCACTTCTAAAAAAATTAGGATTGACTTCTCAAAAAAATAAAAAACCTCCAACTTCAACTTTTTTAAAATGGATTTTTAAACAGGGTGACCTATCATCCCTCGGTATATATAAATGTAGAGTTTCTCGAACCTATGATCAACTTCTTGTGCTTTGTAATCCTATATCTCAATTTTTAGTGCTTTGTAGTTCTATTTGTCTGTTTCTGTTTCTTGTTTCTGGTGTTTCGGAATAGGGTATGTGGATGTCGACTTTTATCAGTGTTAGGACTTAAAAAATTCCAAAACACTTTACTAGCTTTAATTATGAATATATTTTAATGCTTTGTAATTTAATTTATTTGTTATCAGTTTTTCTTATATGATATATCAAATTGATTAATTTTTTGACGATATCTGATTCGACATTCATATAGCATATATAAGATAAAAATAGTTATCTCCACCTTTATAAAAATTAAATTATATATCAATCCTAATTAAAAAAAATAATAAATTATTGTATATCAATTAAATAAATTTATCTGCCAAACCTTTTAAGTGATACTCCCTCTGTTTCACAATATGTGTCGTTTTAGTTTAAAAAAGCAGAATTACAAAAACTTAACAGGAATTGTTATTTTATCTTATATAAGATTTTTTCTAAATCTCTTATATTCAATTTTAATATTTTTTTTTTATAAATATTCTCTCCTTTTCTCTCCTTGCGTGGAAGTTATCAGTCTTGTTATGTCACTTTTCTGCTTTCTTTTGCATGAGTTTTTTTCAATGAGAATCAAATACTCCCTCTGTTTCGTTTTAAATGTCGTTGTAGGGTGTCAACTTTTTTGCAAATTAATTGTCGTTGGAAATATTATATTCATTCTTACATCTTTATTCTCTTTAACAAACATTATCTCATATCATTATCTTTAAAAACCACCCATTAATAAATCAAAAACTAAATTTAATAAGATTAAAAAATAAGATTATTACACAACCCATTAAAATCGTAATTTAGAAATTTTAAATTAAAACGACATCTATCATTATATAAAAAGAATAACCTTTTTACAAATTTAGAAACATTTTCCCGCCAAAATCATTAAATATATCCTATATATAGTAATTGTTGGACAAATCTGAATAGGCAAATAAATTGGCTCAATAATTGTGGAAAAAATTGTTTCTCTTTTTCCTATTTTTTAGTTTATCAAAATCGTTGTTCGACAATAAATATTTGTTTTAATTTTTCCTATTTTTAGTATAAATCTACACGAGCTTATCTCTTCTGTTACCAAATCCCATTGCATACGTCTCACGTGTTTAAAAAATCCCATCCCTTATCTATACAGATTTGAAAAAATAAAATAAAATAGAAACCAATTCATAATTACTACTAGAAATCCATTATCTTTAAAAAGAAAAAATAAAATAAAACAGAAACTAATTCATAATTACTACTAGAAATCCATTATCTACTTTAAGAAGTTAATTTTCATCGGTCTAATTACTAATATTTTTACAAATATTATAAACTAATCATACAAAAAAGTATAATAATAATTTTGAAATGATGTGTAATCAATTTTTTTTATATTCTCTTATACATAATAATTTTACATTGTTTGACCCCGAATCTTTAATTTATAATTATTAAGTATTGTTTATCCTCCTCTTTAATTTATAATTATTATTTTTTCTTCCTCTTTTTAAATAGGATCAATAGTAGTTTCCACTTCCGCTATTGAGTGACTCAAACTCAAGGTCTATTTATAATATTGTTAATTTAATATTGTTACCGTGCATCGCACGGGGTACACACTAGTTTAATAAGAAACGGAGGGAGTATGAGATTGTTTAGGATTTTTTATATGGATAAAAGAAGAAAATGAATTAACACATCTAAAATGACATTTAAAAAACCAAAAAATTACAAAGTCAAACGGCATATATTCTTAAACGAAGGGGGTATTAGTTAGGAAAATTATCTTATATAGGACGATCAAGTCTTACAGTGACAGTGTCATTTTCCACCTGTGTCCGCATTCCTGAAGGCACCCCTCTCTTTATGATTTGCCTTTCCTTCTTCACCTTTCCTTTCGCGTAGAGCCTACTTCGTTACCTTGACCACTTCTGTCTCGGAACTCACTTATCAAGTCTGGCCTTAATTGTCAAGAAGTATTAAAATATTTTTATATAAAAAATTGTATTTTATTTTTTTTAGAACTATGCGAGTATAAAATTTTGTAATTAACATTCATGTGCATTACACGGGGTTTGTACTGCTAGTAGGAAAATTATTTTTGATATAGACTTCCGCATCCAAAATCCATTTGAAAATTGTGCCCAAACAAGCAGTTAAGTATCCAAACTTTGTATGATGGTGTTCAAGTAATATCTCCACTTTAATATTCAAATTAGAGTCATAATTGCTCATATTTCGCAGATACATCTTTACGGTACATCACTTGGTGGCTTCCTAGCTCAGCTTTTTGCTCAACATCGTCCACGGAGAGTTAAATCGTTGGTTCTCTCAAATACATTCTTGGAGACAGCTAGTTTTGCTGCAGCCATGCCATGGGCCTCAATGTATGTCCTCATGATCTTATTATTTGTTCTCTTACTAAGTTTGTATCTAATGTTAATAATATTTTTAGAGAAAATAGTTATTTACACCTCGTTCTGAAAAATGAATACGTTTTTAGAGGATATAGTTATTATGCGGTAATTATGCGACAATTGTGCGAAAGTTAAAAATGTGAAGACATTCCCATACCCCTTCGCACTTTCTAATGTGAATATGCGACAGTTATACGGCAATTATACGATTGATATGTGACAGTTATGCGAACTATTCGAATAACCTTTGCATTTTTCGGGGTGAAATGAAAAATGAATACATTTATAGAGGAAATGGTTATTATGCGGTAATTATGCGACAATTGTGCGAAAGTTAAAAATGCGAAGGAATTCGCATAACTCTTCGCACTTTCTAATTGATGCAAGGACCCTAGTTGATGCAAGGAGAATAAGGAGTGAGGAAGTATTCGAACACCGACTCACTAATGTCAAGGAAGCCATCACCAAACTTATGGAGTTGGTCACACAATTTTTGTCAACCAAGCACCGCATTGAAGCCAGCGACACCTTCCATGCCAATGCTGTCAATCCCTTGTCTACTGTGGATTCCACATCCTCAGTTTTCATGAATTGGCATGCCAAAAAATTTGAAATTTGAAAGTGGTTGCAAATCAAATTCCTCTTCTTCCTCTCCACGGGTTCTGGTCGGCTTCACGACCTGCCGAGGTGCCCGACCCCATTTGGATTTTTTAACTATTAATGAGGATTTCCTTTTTCTGGGGCAGAATCCTCGCAATTATCAAACACTTAAGGCTATACAAAGTATGGTTGATGCCTTCTCTTCTCCAACTTTGGACGGGAAGCGGATAATTCATTAATCCAGCTTGCATGAAGACACTCGTGGCCGCATTGAAATAGTCAATGTTGTTCTTTTTAACAAGGGCCGTATAGTTTTTCCATTTACTCCGGCTTTTTTTTCCTGTCCAGTGGTCGTTTTTCTGGCAGGCGGCAATGATAGAGAGAGAAGAGTGGAGGGATATCAATTTTAAAACATCTTATATTAAAATTTGGGATATTTATTGGTATTTAATCTTTAGGGACTTTGACTTATTTATTATTCCTAAAATGCTATTATTTTTCTTGCCCCTTTTATTTCTTATTACCATCTTATTTTAGTTGTGCTTTAGTTTATAGGCGAGAGTTGTCAATAAGATAAGTAAAAAAAGATTTATTTTGTAATAGCAGTGGCTATTGGACAAGTTATTCTTGCTGGCCAGGATCTCTGGAGTAGTTTCATACTTCTTATTCATCCCTATTATTATTTTGTTTATATAATTACATTTATTTTCAAGTGATGTATCATGTTATTGTTCTGTATTCTTCATCATTTTGGTTTGAGAAGTATCAGCCTCATCAATTTTAGGTTAGTTACTGACATTTAGACCAACATTTTTGACAGTGTAGGTTGGACACCTTCATTTCTACTGAAGCGATATGTCCTAACTGGAATCCGTGATGGTCCTCACGAACCCTTTATTGCTGATTCCGTGGATTTTGTTGTTGCTCAGGTAGAAGTTCTTCATGGATCTGTAAAAACTTCTTTTCTTAAGTCGTTCATAATACTACTAAAGCATATGTTCGTCTCTTCTCTCTTTATATAGTATTTTCACAGTTCTGATAGGAGTAATGAATCAGACTGTTTGGTTATAGGATATGGAGTTTATTGCTATGATAGAAGAGGAACCCAGTACAAGAAGTGATGAACACTTCCCAGTGGGAAATTAAATCTACCCAATAAGATGTAGATTTGCATATTATGCAAAGATATTTCCTGTAAAGTCTTGTTCTAGCTCCAAGTTTTTTTCACACACTTTTGCTTCATTGTTTAGTCATATTTCTATTTCTTCTCGCTTTTTTTTTTTTGAACAGAAAATGGGAAATTTTTATAGTAGTCTTGTCTTATTATCATGAAAGTGTAATAGAAGATTTGCAATGTTTTCAAGGAGCTGAAAATACTGACCTGCAGGTCGAGACACTTTCAAGAGACGACTTGGCCTCAAGACTCAGTTTAACGGTCGATGCAGCATCAGTTGGACCTCTTTTGCTTTCAGATTCTTTAATCACTATAATGGATGTAAGTGTTATCTATTAACTATAGATGATAATATGCCTGAAGACGTGATGACCTCATTCCCTCTAATCTTTAGATTTGCTCTCGCCTCTCGCTCTTCATAAAAAATGAACGTTTCTCATTGATTATTGTTTTGCTTGTGGTGATTATCCTTTCCTTGAAGACGAATGATTTCTGTGCAATCCCCCAACAACTTAAAGATCAAGTAACCGAAAGATACCCCGGTGCTAGACAAGCCTATCTCAAGTCTGGTGGTGATTTTCCTTTTCTTTCACGACCAGATGAAGTGAATCTTCATCTCCAGGTAGATGTTTTATTTATTTATTTATTTACATTTGTTTCTAAATTTTAATTTTTGAGAATTCCTTTATTTTGGATTTCTCTGTTATCATGGGTTTCTCTTATAACGGTTCATTGCATTAATTGCTATAAATCATTAAAAAAAAAAAAAAAAAAATGCTGTAAATCATATACTAAAACTGGTCAAACTCGTACTTACTTCACACCTTGCATGCATCTCATTAACAGCTACACCTAAGACGAGTTGGAGTTGAGCCCCAGGTCCCTAGCACCCCAAAGGATGATTTTGGTGGAAGTTCGAGTGATCAAAGTGACAGAAAACGAGATACTGATGACTCACCAGAGGATGATAGAGTGGATGATAATGGGCCAGGTGGCCCGACAGACACAAAAGGGCCACTTTTACTTCCAGAGGGTCCTGATTCTGGTAATTTCGGTAGCCAATATCTGAGCAATGCTTATTTACCTAATTACAACAGCGAACGCTTGGTGACTCTTTTGCTAGAAGAAGCTTTGGTGAACAGGAAAACTATTCTAGCTTCTAACTTGAACTTTGCATTTGAGTATATCGTTCTTAGTTTGCTTCGTAATCACTTCAGCAACGTGTACATTAATTTGCAAGTATAGTATCGGACTCCGGATTTTGATGTAATTTGTTTGTATACTATGGTCTCTGTAATGTTGTGTCTCGCGTGTCAATTTCGTATGAAAAGAGTGTACTCTGGCTAGTGTTGTATGACAATTGAAGTTGCTTTAGCAGTCCAAAATTTTCGGGGGAAAAAAGTTAAAAAGGGACTGATTGCTGGTGGCCTTCAAAAGATGTTTTTGATAGCAACGTCCCATTTGCTTTGGATGAAAAGGATGTGTATTTTTCGGGTGCAATTGTGCTCTGTGGTAAGAGGTAAGTGCTTTCCTACCTTACTTTGTGAAGCAAAAATCATGGAAAAGTATTTGAAATGGATTTAGTGGTGAAAAAAGGTGATGTAAGTGCAACCTTTACACATGAAAGAGTACAGGGGCCACAGGTTGTCATGATGACTGAATTTGATATAATTTGATTTGAAGATGATGAACGAATGTGTGTGTGCACGATGCGTGCGTATTTGAAATTTTGAATGTGACCTGCATAATATCTTCACATTGAATGTGTGTGTGTAAGTTTGAACTGTATATTATCTTTACACTCGTGTGATACAAGGGATTATTCTTTCTTTCTTTTCTTTCTTTTTTTTTTTTTTTTTTTTTTTTTTTTTGGGTTCAAA